CCGCCCCCGGCCCCGCGCGGCCCGCCAGGCCCGCCCCACCACCGCCAGCGCCAGGGCGGCCGGGAGGCGGCCGGGGCCCCCACTCCCAGGGTCTTATGATCCGTGACGTCACGCGTCGGCAGCGCGCTGCCTGCTCGGCACACGCGGCTCCGCGGCCGCGCCCGGCACAGTCAGTCGGCTGCTCAGCAGCGCGGGGGGCGCAGCCACGGCGCAGCACGTGGCACCGGGCACCGCGGCGCCAGCGCCAGCAGCACCCGGCCGGCCCGGCCCACCCACCTTCACAGACACCTTCCAACACCGCCACTCTACTCCCTTTTCATCTAGCACAGCGATTAACTAAACCCACGCCACGCGCCTTCTTAAATAATCTACCTACTCACTGTACGTGTAAATAATGTGCTTTAATGTGTTCAAAATTGTTGAGATATCAAGTAAAAGTAACTTTCGCGACCCTCTCGAGGAAAGCAGTCTCAAGCAAAATTTGCCTGCGTAGCTAAAATATTAGCTACATGTGGATATCTAGTTTTTGGAGCGATATGCAATTAAACTGTACTACTTTTAACGTTTAAACTTTATCTCGAATATTGAGCTAGATAGCTGCGAAAAGTTTGTTGTCCACCAGGTGGCTGATTATCCCCGCCACTAATGTAGTTATGCGGGCGGGTTGCATACTCGTTCAGCTCGTAAGGCGCCGTGGACAGGGGCGATAGGCAAGCACGCCCGCACTCGTGCGTGCGGTACAGCATTCTTTAGTAAAAGTATATGTATATATGAGTTCAAGTTCAAGTTCAAGTTCAAAGAGGGTTAAGACGTTCAGAAGTTCACATGAACTGTATCACCCGTTACTTGGGTAGGACGTCAGTCCGTGACCGGACCATCCCCTGCGCCCCGAGCTAGTGCTGGTGCGTCCGTGGTTTCGCAGGCGCCATACACAGAGCACCGTCTGCGCTACTGTTTTAGCTCAGGTGATGTGCGGTCTCCCACTAGTCACTATCGCCTAGCGGCGATTGATTGTTCCAGGCTAGAGCTCCAACGTAGGCTCGGTAGTCCAATGCCCCGTCGGTGGTCGCCACCTGGAGTGGGCAGTGAGGCCGCCCACGTGGCCACTCAACCGGGTTGTGCACATTGTACGCCCCAGGGTGGCCACTGGGACAGCGGGTCCCGAACCGCGACCTCGCACCGAAGTGTCCGGCCTCCCTATTGGTTCCGGGGGTCCCGCCCTCCCACAAACGGTGGGCGCAGTGCTCCTCACTCCTCCCGTGAGCACTGCGCCATGTGTATATATGAGTGAGCGGAGTTAATCAGCCACCTGATATATCAGGTGCCCACTGATACATCAGGTGGCTGATTAACCCCGCGCACTTCTATAGTTATGCTGTACCGCACGCACGAGTGCGGTCGGGCTTGCCTATCGCCCCAGTCAACGGCGCCTTACGGGCCGAGCGAGTAGGCAACCCGCCCGCACGAGTGCGTGCGGTACAACATAACTACAGAT